GAAATTATTTTAGCTAATGACTACAACAAAAATGAGTCTAACAAGTGCATATATAGAAAATTTTAAAATAGTAAAGGTGTTATAATTTACTTATATGTGTATGATATGCTAATTTTTGGTGCAGATTTAGAACAAATCCAAGAGATAAAGAATTTTTTGTGAACTAACTTTGCAATAAAAGATATAATTGTGTCAGATGTCATTTTAAGAATTAAAATGTTCAGATATGAAAATAATGTAACTTTATCTCAATCGCACTACATTGAAAAAGTGCTTCAAAAGTTCGATCTTACTAATTGTATACCCGCATCTACACCCATGGATCCTTAAATTAAATTAGTACCTAATGCTAGTAAGGCTGTTGATCAATTACAATATGTAAGAATAATTGGTTGCTTGATGAATGCAATGACATGTACAAAGCCAGATATAGCATTTGTTGTTGAAAAGTTAAGTAGTTATACAAGTAATCTAGGTACCTTGCATTGGCAAGCCATAAGTCAAGTATTAGATACTTAAAGAAAATAATCAATTATGAATTTTGCTATAATAGATAACCATCAGTACTAAAAGGATATTCGAATGCTAGTTGAATTACAAGTTTAGAAGATCATGCTTCCATAAGCGGATGGATCTTCATGCTTGGTGGAGGTGTCATTTCTTGGGGGTTTAAGAAACAAACATGTATAACAGATTCTATCATGGCAGCCGAATTTATTGCATTGGCTGCTACCACCAAGGAAGTTGAATGGCTAAGAAATTTACTTTATGGTGTGCTTTTATGGCATAAACCAATTTCTCTAATTTCTACTCATTGTGATAGTGAAGCAACTCTAATAAAAGCATATAACAAAGTGTATAATGGGAAGTCTAAACATATTGGATTAAGACATAGCTATGTTCGATAATTAATTTCTAATAGAATGATCACAATAACTTTTGTGAGGTCTAATAAAAACTTGGTGGATCCTTTAACAAAATGTCTTGCTAGAGATCTTGTAAATAAAACCTCAAAGAGCATGGGGCTCAAACTCAATAATTGAAAGTCATCCATGGTAAAAACTTGACTCAACGTTTGGTATAATGTCAAGTCTTGAGTTCAATGAGATAAAGTACATCATTTGTATGTGGCTACTAGCACTATAATATAATATATTATATTCCATCCCAAGTGAAGTGCTAGGTACCCATAATGATTAGGAAATGATGAGTTATATATCTTAATAGACCCATAACATACATTTGTTAGAATGCTTTAGTTACAAGGGCATTCATGGGATCTACCTATGTGAGTGTAAAATATGGCTACTTCTAACAATTCAAGAGCTTGGCTCTAACAACACTTATGAAAAGAGGATACAGACGTATGGCCATAAAAGCGTCATTGGGTATTGTGTATTCATTGTTATTGAAATCGTTATGTGAAATGTGTTTGGTTAACCAAATGGAATAGTTGGTTCAAAGCATAGTCTACCATGCAATTTCGGTTAACTTTAATATGTTTTCACTAAGTAAAGGTTCAATCGGAAAACATCTTCATTTATGCAATTGATTTACAAGATTATCAAAAATTTAGATTAATTTGAAAATGGTGAAAAAAATTATATCTGTTGAAAATAAGAAAATAAAAAAAGAGTCACGTTTGTTGGAAAAAAACTAAGAGTTATTTCTATTTGAAATAAATAGGTGTAACTATTTGAAAGAGACAGAAACTGTGTCTGTTGGGAATAAGCACTTAAGCCTATAAAAAGGACCATCCTTTAGACAATAGAAATACATCAATAAATACAAAAATCTTTCCTTCCTTTCTCAAACATTCTCTAAGTTTTCTTCTATATTATTTTGCTGCAGAAAAATATTATAAAAGTTTGATAATATTTTTATATTCCGATGAGTGCTCAGTGGATTAATTTCGTCAATACAAAACGTCGTCAATCACTGAGCTTCATTATATGTTTGAGATTTATACGATGATAACTCTTTTGTACATTACAAGTGAAGACAAATAAAACTTTAAAGACAGTGGCATTGATACACGCTTTGAGGCTAATTTTTAAATTTTTCAGTTTGGTGTTCTAACAATAAATGATTCAATCCAAAAATGTAAATAAAATAGTATAAATATCAAAGAAAAAAATTTAATATTTATTTCACATTCGGATTGTAATTCTTAATTGGGCAGCTCACTTTACAGTGTTTTTTTATAGCCACAGCTGACAGAATTAAAAGCTCTGATGTCTCTAGCGGTTCAACAAATGATAATAACTCCTTGAAAGCCATAAATTGGCAGATTTTCCCCTACTTTCTGTGTTGATCTAAACAACACTATGTGGACTAAAATGATTGAATATGTTGCTAGCTAACAACATATTGAGGCACCTTTAATGTAACTAATTTCTTCCAAAACCTCTGTTTAAGGACTCAAAAACCATATTTTATGAAATTAAATCTCTTCAACAAAAACAAACAAACTACTTCTCAAGACATGGGGCAAGGGAATAGATCTGTCATGTCTGAGTTCACATCGCAACTTGGGTCTCTTTTCGCGAGGGCCCAATCTTTATCTTCCTCTATTCCTCAGGGCCCCCTAAATGCACAGGCATGAAAAAGCAATTTTATTTGTTCTTGGAACAATCTGCAGGATCTCAACCAAAAGAATGTGGATTACCATTTGGCAAGATTTTTCAAGATTCACATTTACTTTTATTCATTGTTCAATATTGACTGCTTAATCAAATTGTAGCCAATTTATTAGTGATTTCTTTAAATTCTGATATTGCAATTGGTCAAATATATGGTAAATCAATAACTAAAGTGTATCCAATAGTTTAAGATAAAATAAATTTAAAATCTAACACTAGACTCTTATAGATGTTGGTTTTGGTTTCTAACTTACAATTACTGCAACACTTATTTTACAATAAATATAACAACAAGAAGTAAAACGAGTGAAACAGTTATATCACATAGACTGTATTGAAAGTAAACTGAAACGAATGACACAGCTCATGGGTTAGGGTTAGTTCCTCCTCTTTCATCTTCTAGATAAGAAAAAATTTCATTACACTATTTAATACTATTTGTTAGAAAAGATCATTACTTCAATGATCAGCTCAAGTGACTATTAGGCATTATGTACAATAAACCTCTTTTGAGTAACCGAAATCCATTATATACATTAAATCTCTTTTTAGGATTGTTATTCATTATGTCATTAAGATATATTCTTGACTAATTGTTTCTTCCTGCTCAGTACATAGGGCTTTGATAGTTTATTTGGACAAAACAAAATTTCGAGAACAAAATTTTTTTTAACAAAAGTAAATATATTTTCACTCTAAGCTCTCTCTCTCTAAATATTCTTTATCAAATTCTCTTATGGTTAGCCATTTTTTTCTCCTTATTCTCAACCGTAGTCTATACTTACCTATTTTCTTTCATGATACTCAATACTTTAGGGCTGTTCCAATCCTCTCCCTATTATCTCTAGCACATGTTTTATTTGTTTGTAACGCTTTCTCTCTCTCCATATTAAAATTGCTTTGTTCTATATTAAGAATAAATGGACTAAAATATATCTCTTGTTTTATTAGATTAATACTAATAATAAATGGAGACAAAAAAAGCCTTAAAATATTTGAAAATAAAATTAATAATATATGAAGTAAAAAAGTAAGGAAAATAAATATAAAATAATTAAGTTTAAATATGGGGAAAAAATATATTTTACTTCAATCACCAAAACATTTTTTGTAATTTATTTAAAAAACTTTTGTTTTTTACTAAATCACCCTTAATTTAAAAGGAGATTGATAAGATTATTAATCTTATTATTAATACTATGTAATATATTATTGATACTGTATAATAAAGGAAGTGATTTTTACCATCTTCTTCCTATACGTTAAGATTTGGAACAACTTTGCTAGCTCCAGTTTTAAACAAGCAAAAAGTTTGAACTTTTAACGTATAACTTGTGAACTTCACCAAAATAAATAAATAGAAGATAAAAAGAAACGACCCGCTGCCTTGAAAAATTCCAGGCGAAAGAATGGCCACTCTAAAAGCAGCAAGGACCCAACTGGCACCATTTTTATTCCTCAAACACATAATCAAGCTCCTAAAAGTCTCAGCTGACACAAAAAACTTAAGATTAGGCAAAATAATCCACACCCATTTATTAGTTGCCAATCGAACCTCAAGAGAAAATAGCGTATACCCGTCAAATTCTTTAATCAACGTCTATGCGAAATGTAGCCAAATTTCGACTGCCCAGAAAGTGTTTGATAGAATGCCTGATAGAAACTTGGTTTCTTGGTGTTCCTTAATGACGGGGTATTTGCAAATTGGGTTTTCACTGGAAGTGTTAAACTTGTTCAAAAATATGGCTTTAGTGGATAATTTGAGGCCTAACGAGTATATTTTCGCAC